CCCTTATTCCTTCAAAATTTCCATCCATATACTGAGGGGTCAGATAGTTGTCTTGCTCTGTGTTCAAGTGATTTAATAATAGCCGCATCTTATTTGTGATGCTATGTGATGAATTAAAATTAATAATCCTTCCTGATGCTGTTGGTTTTTGATACCAATAAGTAGTAAGGTTGTTATTAAAATCCCTGATGACAACTACATCAAGGAAGGTTAGCCTTAACCCTTTCTCTTTTCCAAAGGTAAATTGAAAATTCTGATAAAATTCATTAAATACATTTAAGATTATGTCCTCATTATGGTCGGGTCATTACATGATACTAACTTTCTGAACAATTTATTTGACTTATTTTTGGAAAGGTTTGTGGGATTGTTAGCTAATTCTAGATATGTGCTATCATCATCCAACAATAGTTTCATTTTTCACTCATAGTTTTGTCTTTCCATCACAACAGTGCAATTACCCTTATCCGCACGAGTCACTATCAAGTTAGGATTATTTTTAAGGAATTTCTTGGTTTGATAATAGTCTTTATCGCGTTGGTCATATTTTTACCCTGTTTTAAGCTGTTGTAGTGATTCGTAAATATATTGGTGCAGGTTGCTCTAATATTCTTATATGTGTCTTCTGGTAGGTTCTGGGATGCAATATTCAGTATCCTTGATGAGTTGGAACATTGAAAAGTATGTAGTGTTATAGGGCAAAGCAAATGATGGTCCCAAGGCTAGTAATTCCTTACTGGAAGGTGGTATTGTTGTTGTGCTAAGGTTAATCAATCAGTTTTCCGAGTTAAGTAACTTGTTACAATGTGTGAATTTTGTGTTAGAAAATATATGTTCGTATTTCTTTTTAATAGTTCTTAGAAATGCTTGATAATCCTTTTAAGTTAAATTATAGCTAATAACAAAAATTTTTAAATCTTCTCGTTAGGTGTCACTGGGTTGACTGACAATAATTAATTTGTCATTATTTTGCTTATATTATTATCTCTGTTATGACTTTGTCCTGATTTTTCTATTTTATTTTTTATATTTTTATATTTTTGTGTTTTTTTGTCTTTTTACAATTTTATCAATGTATTGTGATTTTGTTATGTGCAATAGAATGTTCCATCCCGAAAATCTCGCACTATTTTATATAATTCTGGCCACATAAGTACAAGGTATGTAAACTTCATTTTTTGTTAGCACTTTTTTGAAGTTTCTAATATATATTTTAGCCCTGGATGAAGCCCTAAACTTTTGGGCGAAACGTTGGCAAAGACTTGACAGGCCATTTATTTTTTTGTCCTAACCGACGAATCATCCCCTTCATTAGATTCCGATAGGACACGAACATTACTTGGTCATAAGAAAATATAAAATAAACAAGAATTTACGTATTCCTAGAGATTTCTCGAATATAAATGAATTTGTATATAAAGCGCATTCATTGACGAGATTACCTATCTAGTGGATGTTAGTATATAAGGGGTAATATTGAATTGAATTAGTAACTTCTATAATAGTCTATTATTGGATTTGACTCCGAAAACGAAGTTCACATACGGGCTGGCTGAGACTTCCTTTGGGGTATGGACTTTGGCACTGAAGCATTGACAACTTAGGTATTTTTTTTTTGTTTTTTTTTTTTAAATTGATAAATGTACAGAATAGTTATAGCAACATACAATAGCAGGTATATTACATGCGGATGTGGAAAGTATTTCATTATTATGGAGAGATACTATGGTTGACCGAGGTGCGAAGCGCCGAGGTAAACCAATTTTCGAGACAATATATGTGAAAGCTTTCCACCGAAATATGTATACGATTTTATTTTGAACTATCAATTATTGAAGAAAAATAAGGTGAAATTATAACAGAGATGGAATGTGACATCTACTTCTAAATACATCATTACACCTGGATTTGTGTTTAGGTGTGAAAGAGCAATTTATCAGGCCGAAAAAGAGTTCTGTAGGCTGAAAGTGACAGGAGAACTGTCACTTTCGGCCTGCTTTAAAATAAACAAAAGTAAAGTGACATGTTAGAACCTTTAAACCAGTAAGAAATGTCAAAATAAAAATAATTTTATCTGCAAGCATTTGTTTATGACGTTTCTATATAACCATTTTTCTAGTATTACAGTGCATAACACAACTAGTGGTGTTATGGACTAGGTTATGAATTCATAACACAAATATTTTTGGTGATTTGACAAATACAAAGTTAAACCTGTGAAGGTAAAATGAAGTTAGACAATGACTAATAAAGGAAAATGATTGAAAAATCATTTCTATTTTTCGCTTTGTAGATAAAACCTTGTACATCACACGTGTATTTAAACATGACTACAAAACTTGTGTGATTAGAACGACTCGGTCTACGACCTCGTCGTTCTGATCTTTCACACTTGTTATTGTGATCATAATGTTCATAAACGCACTTGTAATGTAAATAACTATTACATACTAATGAGCCTTATTATAAGATGGTAGGCAGTATGCCTGATAACATGCCGGGCAATATTGTCAACTACTTAAGTAAATACCACTCTGTACATCAATTTTACTAAAGTGTGTCGACGAGTCATCATCTATTTGATATAAATACCGCGCCGAAATCCATTATGGGCAGTCTAAGGCTAGTGCAAAGTACCTCAAATGGGAAAAGCCCCTCTAGCGCAAGTATCCTCCCAGTGCACATTACCTTTAATGGGAAACGTCCTTCTGGACCTGTCTCAAACCTAGCTCGTTCTGGGAGTATTTAACGCAGCAGACTATGTCTAGTGCAAACTACCTTTATCGGAAAACGCCCTTCTGGACCTGTCTTCATTCACGCCACGTGTACAGAGGCTACACAATACAGAGTGGCCTATAAGTAGTACGTCCCTCCGTAGAAGAGACGTCATAATACTATTTCTAGGGTAATATTATTATTATTCAATACATTATCTTATTATACCTATACCAAACGAATTTCTCTCTACCTGAACCCCACCTACCTACGCCCCCAGGTCACGCTTCTGTTGTGACGTCCCAGCACGAAACGTATAGGGGTTATGACAATATGTTGAGGTTTTCTTGAACTAAATATGTCTCATAGGACTCCGCGCATGTAAAATTTAACTGTGAATTTTATCTACATGACCCAAATATGGGACACCAAGTAGCAGTTAGTAGGTACCACCCAAATATGAGACATCAATTTTTTTATGGAGGACTCCTGTGCCTGGCTGATGGGTTGTCATTTGGACAGTGAACGTATTAAGAATAATGCTATATAGGCACGGGAGTATTGACTTCGGCCTTTCATATTTACAAATCATGTTTCAAGAAATATACAGTGTTTTCTATGACAAGTACATGACACCAAATAGCCGAGCAAGTCAATCAGATGTTACTGGACTTGAAGACAAGGTAGAAAAGCTCGAAGAGGATAAGAACAGGACAGACACTCTTACAACAGTAGACCGGAAACAGAAAGGAAAACAAGAAGAGAAACGCCGGAGATAGAAAGGAAAACAATAAGTTCAAGTCCGAAGACATTAAAGAAGCTTGAAAACAAAAAGAACAAGGTCGGTCCAATCAATATAAAAAACACGTTCATATTTTGATGACAATTTTTCATACCTTCTTAGACATTTTTCTTCATTCTTGCTGAATTCGACCTACTCTATTTCATTGCCATGCTACCTACAAAACATACCTACTTATCCTGATGTTTGTTCAAATTTTTTGATATCATCAATTGTAAATAGACTTACAGGAGAGCTAGATTCAGTTTTTTTAAAATAAATTTTTCCATATGAACATGAGCAGATTGAAGCTTTGAACAACTCATTTAAATAGATTTGTTCATTTCTTTCCTGAAATTTGCAGTCTTTTGTATAGATAGTCTTTATAACCTTACGTTGTTTGAAAATCTTCTGCTTAACTTCTTTGTTCCTACATCTCACTATTAGGGGTTGTTCTTCTGTTTGTGTATTAATTCTGCGACATTCTTCTTCTTCTATATCATCCATATTTAGTTGCAAGCCCATACCTTTAAATAGATCTCTTACGACTTCGTTGGTGGATTTATGTTCCTGCACTGGAATACCAGTCACCTCAATATTATCTTGCTTCTCCTCCTGCTCCGTTATATTCTCTATATTCAAGTGCTTGTAATCTCTTCCTTATTTGTACAATCTCCTGATTTATCCGCTTAGTTTCTTCCATACTTTTCTCATACAACTCACATTGATCTTCAAATTTTCTCGACATATACGATATGCTTCCCTTTGCCTGCTTAGTTTCCAAGTCCATTTTTGCTGTAATCTTTTCTTGAAATGATCTTAACTCTTCTTGAATTTTTGTTAGCATTTGTTTATCCATATCCTCTGAGTTAACCTCACTCTTTGTCTGTTCACAATACTGTCTTTATTAATCACCTTATACTGAATTCTACAGCTTCTATGGTAAGAAGATTTGCAGATTGAACAGCAAAAGACTCCTTTAGTTCTTTTTTACAAAACTTACACCTTTTTTTTTAACTTTAAATCAGACATTGATAACAAACATACGTCTCAGCTGAAACCTAACCTTTTCAAATTTACCCTCCTTCAAAGTATCTTCCTCTTTTTCATTTGAACATCACACCAACATATAATTATGACGATTACAATAATTTCAAAACGAGTGGAACATAACCACCTAATTATGATATATTATAAGATCATCAAGCGTGAATAAATACATAGATAAAAATGATAAAAGAAGAAAATTTTAATTAAAAATTCTCAACGGTATATTTTATCTCGACGGTCCCGGACTAATACGCCTCCGGGACAAAATCTCTTCAAAGTCCAGCATCTTCAACAGCTCCACGCGGCGGCGATCGTCGGTCGCTCTTCCGGGCACACTTCGCCGGGGTGGCTTGGTGGGGGAATTTCATTCATGAAATCGCTTCGCACCGCCCAGTTGTGACACACCTCTTCAATTTTATAAATATAGTTGTATTCAGAAACGTATAGTCGTCAGAAAGAATTGAGAGCTCGCGCTTGAATAGTAGCAGTTAGTAGGTACCATTTGCTTGCCGTAGCGAACGTAGGTACTTTACATAGAAGATTTGCGGTGTCGGGTCGCCCAACCAAAACAAGTCTTAACCGGTCGGAGATTTTCGGAGTGATTTTGAAACATGGAGTGCCACATTGAACAAGTGCTTAACAGAGACCAAAGAACCATCAAAACCAGAATGTTCAACAGAGATTCCGCCACTCACCAAAACAATAAGAATAGAAATTTTACAGAAGATAGCAAGTTTCTTCAATATAATTGCCAACAAACAACGGATTTAGCTCCCTCGAAGAAAAGTTCCTTAAGTTTTTGTAATTGCCATGATCAGTATTTTTCGAATTTTAAAAGACTGCTTTATCAGACTGAGGTGATGTGCGGATGGAAAGAGGTGAACGATATCAAGGAGGTTAAATGTGAGAAGATGAAGAAGGACAAGTGTAAATCGTGGTTGAAAAGTAAGTCATTTGATTTGTAGTAAAATGATGTTTGATCAAATTATTTGAAATTTTTGATAATTTGGATCAAGTAGCAGTTTATTGTAGATTACATATTTTTCATAGTGTTCTTTAGTCTCAAGCTTCAAATACATAAATTCCTAAAATTACTTGAATCTGGTTAGTATCAACCTCAAATATCCGTTCACCGCTATTATCTAATGTAAAATAATACTTAGCATCATAATTTTTTCATACGTCGTGTGATTCACCCAAAATATAAACCGAACATCCATATTATAAACACTGCGAGGAGGAAATTCTGCGAATCGTTTGATCGCGCCTCGTCATCCCCAATTCCGGAGAAATTCCATGTGAATTCCGCGAATGTCGGTTCGTCGGCACGCCATTGGCCACCTGTTGCATCGTGTTCCCGCCTCTTTTGTATATTGGATAGTACTTAAGAGATTACCCAGCGTTTTATGTACATACTTTAGTATTTAAAATATACTTAGGTAACATGGTTCATGGTTGGCTCAACAATAGTGTGGTTTTAAGAAAACTGTAAATTACTTCTTTAGGAATTGAATTCTGTTACAAATTATGAAAAGTATGTTTCCTATAAACTTTTGTATGAGATAATTATTATAATTTGATGGATTATAATACACATTTAGTGTGTAAAATTTACTCAGATGCAAAGTAGTTCCTTTCAAATTATCTATCATTCAGTTTTATAAGCACAATTGATTTCAAATTCAATAATACATCATTATTCAATTACATCTCAAAAACGGATTCACGTAGAAGCGTTTGGTTATGACGTTTTTACATAACCATTTTTCTAGTTTTGAGTTATGTCATGAGACTCATAACATAACTAGTGGTGTTATAGACTAGGTTATGAATTCAAAACACAACTAGTGGTGTTATGGACTATGTTATGAATCTATAACACAACTAGTTTTTGTGATTTGACAAATCTCACAGTTAAACCTGTAAAGGTGAAATGAAGATAGACAACTACTTTATAAACGGAAATTGAAAAAAAAAAAATGTTATTTTTCGCTTTGTAGATAAAATATTGTACTCGCACGTGCGTTTAAACATGACTACAAAACTCGTTTGATTAGAACGACTCGGTCTACGACCTCGTCGTTCTAATCTTTTACATTCATTATTGTAATCATGTTCATAAACGCACTTGTAATGTAAATAACTATGATATTTCAAGTGCGTTTTATGAACATGATTGCAATAACGAGTGTGAAAGATTAGAACGACGAGATCGTAGACCGTTCTAATCACACGAGTTTTGTAGTCATGTTTAAGCACACGTGTGATGTACAACGTTTCATCTATAAAGCGAAAAATGGAAATGTTTTTCTCAATTTTCATTTATTAGTAATTTTCTACCTTCATTAATTTTACCTTTACAGGTTTAACTATGACATTTGTCAAATCACAAAAACTAGTTGTGTTATAGATTCATAACCTAGTCCATAACACCACTAGTTGCGTTATGACATAACTCAAATACTAGGAAAATGGTTGTGTAAAAACGATATAACTAAACGCTTAGGTATAGATAATAGTTATTTACATTACAAATGCGTTTATGAACATGATTACAATAACGAGTATGAAAGATTAGAACGACTAGGTCGTAGACCGAGTCGTTCTAATCACACGAGCCTTGTACAAATACTAAAATGTGTTTTTTTTTTTTTAAAGATAATTCCCCAAGTCAAAAATCTAGTAACTATGTTGGCAACACAAGCCTTTCCTACATAAAAAATTTGAAAGCATTGACAATTTTACATTGTATTGCCAACATAATGTCATTTTGACTTTTATCTTTAAAGAAAAAACAGACTTTAAATACTTTCAATTTGGAAAGTACTTCAAGTTTCAAGTACTTTAATTCCGTACTTGATTTTTTCAAGTAAAATAATTCAAATACTCTGTAAGTATTTCAAGTACTTAATTGGATATTTGATATACCTATGTGTATTTGAAATAATAACAAGTATTTCAAGTACCCACTAAAAAGGATTTCAAATTATTCAATGATTGTTTAAGATAGTATATTGAAAGCTGAAATAGTACTTGTATAATACCTCTGGAAAAAGTACTAGAGAGATTCCAGACTCCAAGATTCCAGTTGCAGATTGTAGTTACCGAGGAAGTTACTTTCAATTTAACAATTTAAAATTGATATAGAAAAGACTGATTAAGAAATAAAGTTCGGAATGCAAGTCAAAGCCCATGTCTTCGAGGTGCGTTCACTATTTCTACAAAAGTAAAAAGTTTTTCACCTATCCAAAGATTTTATATCTATACTGGTATCCTCTGCATACTTGTTAGGACATGTTAATTTCACATTTGGTGAAGTATTTGAATTACTTTCTCTGGTATTTCAAATACTTTTTACTTTCTAGGGTATTTGAAATATTTTCAAGTATTTTGAGTACCTACACATGCCTAGTATTTGAATTACTTTTTCTGTAAATCCAGTAACCAAATACAAATACTTTATTCAAAGTATTTCCAGAATCAAGTACAAATATCCAAAAACAAAAGTATTTGAATAATAGTACTTCAAATACTACAAGTAATTGACATATAATTTCTAAATAATTTGCTTGAAGAACTGACAGCTCTGATCCCCAGTTCTTAAAAGAAGTTTACATTCAAACCGTGTTTGCAATAAGTCGATGGATTCTCTTGCTATGTGACATGTTGCGCCGTCTTGTTGGAAAAGTAAAGCGTATGTGAACAATCCCCGAACAATTCAAGTTGAAAGATGAGATTCGGGGCATTATTCGAAAATCTTGGCATAAGAATTATATGCTGTGTGAGAAGTCGCGATGGCCATTTGTTGAATATCGTGTTTCACTGTATCATTGTTAACGATTATGTTACTTATTTCTATAAAGTAATGAATGTTTCCTAGTTTGCTTGTCGTTTAAATTGAAAAAAACATCCGGAAACTCTTATTGGAACACCCCATATAAATTGAATTCCTAGTCAAATATCAAGGATCCAATTTCTTTTCTATAAATACTTGTGAATTTGATGATAGGAATAGCAAAATTCCTCATTATTTCCAGAAAATCTACGACTTGTCTTCAACCAGTCTTTTTGTGGACTTTCTACTAGTTGTAATTTAATAACTGACTTCCTACAGATGATATCAGCGAGTGAACGAATAAAATTCTTATTGTGTAGGTATTTGTGGGAAATCTAAAAACTGATAAGAAATATCATCATAGAGAAGAAAAAGACAAGGGAGACCCCAGTGTGTATTCTGTGCATAAATTTTATTGAATAGCAGAGCGCTTTCGGCCGTAGGCCATCTTCAGTGCTTCTTTGTCAGGAGTACATCGAAGTCAGAAATTGTAAAAGAGCACCACATACTTAATGGAACGAACATACATTTAAATTATTGCAAAACATTAAACATTTAGGTGTAAAAACATTTAGGTGTAAAAAGGGGGCCCTAGGGCTGAACCATGGCAATTACATTAATTAGTTTGGTCTCAGACAACGTGTTGGTCTCAGAACACGTTGTCTGAGACCAAACTAATTAATGTAATTGCCATGGTTCAGCCCTAGGGCCCCCTTTTTACACCTAAATGTTTAATGTTTTGCAATAATTTAAATGTATGTTCGTTCCATTAAGTATGTGGTGCTCTTTTATAATTTCTGACTTCGATGTACTCCTGACAAAGAAGCACTGAAGATGGCCTACGGCCGAAAGCGCTCTGCTATTCAATAAAATTTATGCACAGAATACACACTGGGGTCTCCCTTGTCTTTTTCTTCTCTACATCGTTGATGTGCACACAGCCATTTCCCTCATTTAAATATCATCATAGCATCCATAAACATGGGTAGCTTAGTTTCGTATAATTCTTTCATCATATCACTTTTTACCAATTCAATGTTCACCAGCTTCTCTAGTGGATAAAAATTTCTAGTTTCAAAATTCTAGATCTTCAAATTCTGCATCAACTGAGCTTCTTTTCCGTTTATTCCTTTCAAAACTGATATTTTTATTTTCTGAACTGCGAAAATGCATATTTTGTTACCTACGTTTTATTTTCTTTTTCCTTGGGAGTTTAGTCATTTGGATATCGAAAAAGTAAGGGATTCTAGGACCATCATATTATTGTTTCTTTGTAAGGTTTCGTAAATGAATTTTTTTTATGTATTTATGGGGGACTCATTCAAACACTAGGCTGGAATTATTTTTCATGATCATGTAAGTGTTGGCCTCTTTTGGTAGTTCCTTGAAAAATCATTATTTATTTCTGGGTACGATTTTGCAAATTGTCGCAGTTTTGTTTGAATTCGTTTTGTCGGCAGTTGGTTCCAATAGTATTTTTTTTTTTTATATTATTTAATTAACATTTCTTCAATATATATAGCGTGTAGTAAATTTTGGCGCCCAACGTGGGGCAAAGATCAAGTATCCAATTTATATCATTCTTTCCTCTTATATAAATAATTGTGAATTTGATGATAGGCATAGCAAAATTGCTCATTATTTCCAGAAAATCTACGACTTGTCTTGAACTAGTCGTTCTGTGGACTTTTCACTTAAATAACTGACTTCTTACAGATGATATCAGCGAGTGAACGAATACAATTCTTATTGTGTATTTGTAGGAAATCTCCAAAGTAATAAGAAATATGATTATAGCATCTATAAACATGGGTTGCTTAGTTTCGTATAATTCTTTCATCATATAGATCTTTTCACCAATTCAGCTTCTCTAGTTTGTTTTTCTTTGTAAAACCTGTGCTGCGCATTTCTCCAGAATGAAAATATTTACTAGCAAACCCAAGAATTGGTATGGTTTAGAGATTCTCCAATGTGCGCCATACAAAAAAGTCCATGAAGGTCAAATCTGATCTTCTCGTTGGACAAAAACTCACCAAAATTGTTACTTGGGACGCAAAATATAACAACTATTCGATGATATCTTGCTGCCTAATTAGGTTTGTATACTCAA